TATTTGGGACATATTTTGGGAAAGAAAAAATAAGATCCAGTGTGAGACCTTTGTCATAGGACCCATACATAAAATTAAATCATCCACAATGGAAATAAGGGCAGCAGCTAAGGTGTTAGATGAAATATCACTATGAAGATCAAAATCTCCAAGTATTATGCTATTTTCCAATTTAATGATAAAGGAGAAAAAGTCATTAAATCGAGATAAAGACACTGGCTAAACCAGGAGGAAGGTATATTAAAATGCAACGAAAGGTTTTCTAAAGGCCTCACTTTTATCATTTGAGGCTTAAATAAAGAATTAGATTCCAAGTTCACATGTCTGAAAGAATAACTGCCTTTGAACACAGGACCAGTTCACAACCTCAGCCCACCCCACCTTATTAGGAAGTCCATGGAAAGCCTCAGTTTGCTTCCATGTCTTTGAAGGGAACGTAAAATCAAAAGTGTATTTTCTGATAATTAATTTAAAACAAAAAATTTTTTCTTAATTGATCAGGCATTGAAAATGGCTCTTCTCAGCTGTCAGTTTTGGTTAGCTCTCATTAGCTGAAAGTGGTACATGGAGTAGATTTTGACTCTCTGAGGAAGTATAACCGCGGATGTCTGTGGGACAGTAATTCGCCTGCATGTTATGAATGCTGGCGTACCATAAATGATAAATTATGAACAGTTTAGTTTGTGCCTTCAAGTCACTTGCCCATAGGAAGATGTTACTTGGATATATTGTAATCTAACGGAATATCTTCAGAACAGCTCCAAATGACGTAAAACTCATATGGGTGAGTAGAACATGATGTAATAACGTAAAAATAAAGGACCCAATGTAAAAAAAAAAAAAATGGCTTTCCTCTTTAAGTAGTTTTTTGAGCACATACTTTTTCACTTTTACTTGAGTAAAGAGGTCAAGTTGATACTTCAACTTTTACCAGAGTGTTTTTAAACTACAGTATCTATACTTCTACTGAAGTGTTAGGACTCCTGTCTGTGTGTTTGTGTTTCTGTGTTTGTCTCCCTTCCTCCACCAGGAGATGCCTGGTTCTGGTCCGCCTCCTCACACACCTGCTGATGGTTTCCTCGTTAACGGAGTGTTCTTAAGCTGCTGACTGCCACAACCTCGACGCCATGGTGTTTGCCAGTTTTGGGTACTCTAGCCAAGCTGAGTTTTGCTGATTCAAACTGAGTTCTTGTCAACGTGGGAGTCTTCCTGCAAACTGGATTTTTTTTGGAAGGATCAACTGAGCCTCAAACTGAGCTGGGGATACAAACAGGAGATTTGGATCCACTTTTCCCCACAAGGTCGTTTGAGTTTCACACTGAGCAAGGGATTAATCTCCTCTACGACCCGTTCAAGTACCGCAGGAAATCTAAGTGGCAGTCAGCTTTCTCCGTTCACCTACAAACAACAGCATTCTGGGTAAACCCTGTTCCGCCCTCCACCGTATCAGACAAACACTGGAACAACAGCATACAGACTGGAGTCAAAGATTGAACAACTTCTCTGGAAACGTAAGTCAGCAACCAAATCCTCTTCTCCAAGTTCACAAATCAAATTTCCCACTGAGCCCGAAATAATCGCTGTGTCTTCCCCTCACTTTTCAGTTCCGGTTGAGCAGTGTTCAGAGCAACACTTCTCTCTGCATTATCTCTTCAATAAAACCTGTTAAACCTTTTCCCCTGGTCTCTCTGAATTGGTTTCTCTGCATGTGGACCCGAGCTTTTGATAAAATCATGACATTAAGTAACAAATGTGTGTACTTTTGACACCACTGACCTTGGTTGAGTCTAACACTCTAGAAACGAGAGCCTTCAGAGGCCTAAAGAGGTCAGGAATTCATCCAGCCATTATTCATCCATTATTCAGCCAAACGTACATGTTCAGTCAGCACTATTTACCACATGTGGACTCTGAAGGGTTGTCAATGAAAATCAGAATCAGTTGAATTCATTTGTTAATATCTATCAGTTTTCCGCGTGTAAATGTTTATTTACTTTATTCCTTTACAAAAATGTCAGAATTGTTATTTTTTTCCCCCAATCTTAGCATTTCAATACTTTTCATCAAAAAAACAGTAAAACAGTAAGTACTATAAAATTTTGAATAAGTCTGAAAGTAAAAAAAATGTAAAATTAAAAACTGAATTGGTATAATTACCCTCTGGTGGCAGCGTATGCCATCTTTTAAAATGTCTAACATATTTCTGTTAAGAAATATTTTGACACATGCTAACACATTTACCAATTTGAATACGTGGTTTTGTCGCATTTATCGGTGCACCTGTAGTATCTTGGCTTACTGTGTTCTCACTTGAAGTCATCCAGTGTGTTACAGTTGTTTTTCTCTTAGGAAGAGGTCAAACATATATGTTTGGGATCCATAAAGTTTTTCCAATATCATGACAAGTTGAATTATTAAGGTGGCTGATAAGGAGAGTGACCCCTGCTGATGGGATTATCCTTCTCTATTCCAAAAGCAAAGAACAGATGCTTTGTCTCCTCTGAGGAATGTTTATATTAGGGTGGAAGATAAGCTAATGTGTCAACCAACAGGCTATATTGGCCTATTTGTGCTCCCTGCCCTTTTGCAGAGAGGGAGATTTCCTTCTCCTGCCCCCTTCTGCTGCTATTCTGTCCCTCTTACAATTTCCCACAAGACTAAACTGAATATGCAGCAATCATCTCGAATGGAGGAAACATATCTCTACATCTGACCCCTAAACATTCTGTTCCAATTTGTTGGTCAAATTAAGTCATTGAAAAAAACAATGCAAAAAAAAAATACTGTTAAATGTGTCCTTTGCGCTCTGAAACAAAATTATTTCTGCAAGCACACAGTGCAATACTGTAAAAAGGAGCAGATCTGACAGAAAGGAAAAAACTTGTCCGGAACTCCTTTCTTTCTCTCAATCATGTAGTTAGAAAAACACAGTCACTTAAAAGCAGTCTCCGTGATAGAGGAGTCAAGGTTTCCTTTTATGTTGGTGACTTCCTTCACATCATCAAAACACGGCTTGTTTCTGTAGCTGGGGAAATGTTAAAAGAGAAAGTGCAATGAAAGTAAACATATACTAGAGGATAGAGATGGCCAGCCTTGGTGCTGAACTCTGCTGACGTGCAAAAGGTCTGAGGGGAACAGGGAGGCTGCTAAAAAAGAGAAATGTTATGCACGTGGGTTTGTGTGTGTGTGTGTACCTGTCTAGCCCTCAGAATGAGGGCCATTTTTCCAATTTCACCATCAAATTGAGGACCAGTTGTTGCAAAGCGAAATTTTGTCGGTCCTCACATGCTATTTTGCTAAAGGTTAGGTTTAGGGCTAATGTGTCAGTTGGGTTAGGGTTAGGTGTGCATTGGTAATGGTTAGATTTAGGGTTAGTTATAGGGTTAAGGCATAGAAAGGGTTGAAAATGAAATCAATGAAAGTCAATGGGAGTCAACGCATGGTCCTCCCTACTATGGCAGAACAAGTATGTATGCATGCGTGTCTTTGTGTGTGTGCTTTAAAGATAGCATGGTGGAAAAAATGACAGCAGGTGAGGGTCAGGGCAGGGTTAAGGTAGAGGAGGGGTAGGGAGTAGAGATGATTTCCCGCTGGGAATTAAAGAAAAAACTCTGAAGAGTACAAGTACTATGACTCACTTGCACTTTTTTGCTACACTGGACATTGACAGGTAGTGAACAGCACACACCGTAAGGCTCCTTACATACAGAAAAAACCCACGCCTGTGTATTCTGCAGATACTCATTAGAGGTTTTCAGTTTGGTTTGTTTTTCCCTCGCATGAATGCAGTGACTGTCAAAAAAAGTTTGCTATTTTGAATTGAAAAAGCAAAGAATTCAAAGAAAAGAGAATAAGTGGAAGGGAGAGAGA